AGTCAACAGACGTGCGTCGCGTATACGTAATCTACAGCTTAGCCTTATATAAACAGTCTTTGAACGCTGCCCCCCCCTCATCGACCCCTCCCCCCTCGTTCTTTCCACAGTCGCACATTTCTCAACACGCTGCTTGCCTTGCACTGACCCCTGTGATGCTGGAGGTTGTTTAATTAGCATTGGATAGAAATGGGGGGAGGGGCAGGGGGGGGGGTTCATCGTGCCATACCTCGACGCCTTCAGCCACATAATCCCAGTGGCGCTGCAGAAGGTAAGTCAGTCAATGGAGGCGGCGGCGGCGACCGTGGCTGTTACGTAATGAAGTAGGTCACGTCGCAGCCGCGGTTGCTGCTCTATTTCTCCCGCTCTGACTCCAGGCGTCAGGAGACGCCGCGGCCTCGGCCGCCTGAGGTCGGAGCTGTTACGCATCAGGCTTAAAGTCCTCTTTCTGTGGAGCTCCACCACCGAGGATGGAGGGACGGAGGGAGAGGGGGAGGGTATTATGTCATTCATGTTTTCGTTGTCGTTTTTTTTTCCTCTGCTCTGGTATCGTCTCATTTTATTTACTGCAACAAGAGAAAAATATACTATAAAATGAAGTTAGAAATGAATAAAAAATAGAAAATCTGTGGTTTTTCCTGACTTGTTATATAAGAGATTTTTTTTTACCCTATGTCTTTAGTATACATTAAAAGTTCACTTTTTGTTTTTGTTTTTTGTTTTTTTTTTTACAAAAAATGTCATACATAAAATTTAACTAAAACAAAAAGACAAAAAAAGTTGGCCACAAATTAGATTGAGGGGAGACAAAGTGGTGACATCTCCGTGATTCATAGAGACGAGGAACTTGAAGAAAAACCACCAGCCGTAAAAACCAGTCCGGTTCATTAGGAGATTACAGGATTTCAACCCCCCCGACCCCCACCGCCCCCCGGCCTCCCCCACTCTGTGAGTTAAGCATCTACATACCTGCATTCCCCTCAGCTGCTCTTCCATGAGCTGACGAGCTCAGACTTAACTCCTGCCTCCACTTCCCGTCAACGGCGGCTCATTTCTGACGCTCCTCAGAGACGCTCAGTCACGTCCTCTGTTATGACTGCGTCTTGGCAGAGGAGGAAAAAGAACTGCTCAGGTCATTTCGAGTCAAACGCTTCACTGCAAATTGCCGGCCGCGGCAGATGGGAGTCATTACCAAATGGCAAATCTACTCCATTTACTGCACTGCCAGTGGCGGCGCTCCGTCAGGGAGTCGGAGTCTCTCTCTGTGCTGGACGAATATTACATCAAGTCGACCGCGGTCTGCCCGTCTCTGGGTTACATCGATGAGACCGCTACCATAATCCTATAAAGTGATCATTTAGTATCGTCGACGTCACGTGATCAGGTGGTCTGGGTTTGGTCTTTACTTAAAGGGTCTCGTCTTTGAACCGCTGCTGCGTCTATGGAGAAATATTTCCTTTTAAATTTTGATTTCATCATTCACTTTCTAACGTTCCAGTTTGCATCATCAGCCTGTGGTTCTGCCTCCGTCCGTCACCGTCTGACACACACTCTGTGTCAAAAACAATGATTGTAATTATGCTTGAATGAAATCCCTGCCCCTCCATTTAAAAACAATCAGGTAATTAGTTTCACATCTACCCCCCCCAGCCCCCCTTCTCCCCAACGCACACACTGGCACTGGGCCCAGGGCAGTTTGGTCACCACCACCACCATCCCCCTCCACTGCTGCTGCCCCAGTAACTGTCCATGTTGTAATCAGACGTCTGCAGACGGCCGACACCAAACTGTGGTCGTGACTGGAGCGCTTTAGTCTTGACTTTGGTTCAGCTGCAACAATGAAATACACAACAACTTGTTTTTATACCAGGATTATTCACACCACCGCTAACTGCTGTTTGTTTTTGTTTATATATACATATATATATGATGATTCTACTGCTGAAATTGGTGACGTCAACGAGATGCTGAACTTTAACACGCTCTCAATTAAATAAAAAAAAGAAAGTCTCTAATCCTTGTCCTGTGAATATATTTGACGTCCTGACATGGCAGTTCTCATTCCTTCCCGCAGAGGCAGCGCTGCACAGCCTCCTCGGAGCGTTGACCAGCGAGACGTACGAAGATCCCACACAGCACCTGGAGAGGGAGCAGGCGTTGGCCAAGCAGTTCGCAGAGATACTGCACCCCCCCCCCCCCCCCCTCCCTCTCCCCAACGCACACACTGGCACTGGGCCCAGGGCAGTTTGGTCACCACCACCACCATCACCCTCCACTGCTGCTGCCCCAGTAACTGTCCATGTTGTAATCAGACGGCTGCAGACGGCCGACACCAAACTGTGGTCGTGACTGGAGCGCTTTAGTCTTGACTTTGGTTCAGCTGCAACAATGAAATACACAACAACTTGTTTTTATACCAGGATTATTCACACCACCGCTAACTGCTGTTTGTTTTTGTTTATATATACATATATATATGATGATTCTACTGCTGAAATTGGTGACGTCAACGAGATGCTGAACTTTAACACGCTCTCAATTAAATAAAAAAAAGAAAGTCTCTAATCCTTGTCCTGTGAATATATTTGACGTCCTGACATGGCAGTTCTCATTCCTTCCCGCAGAGGCAGCGCTGCACAGCCTCCTCGGAGCATTGACCAGCGAGACGTACGAAGACCCCACACAGCACCTGGAGAGGGAGCAGGCGTTGGCCAAGCAGTTCGCAGAGATACTGCACTTCACGCTGCGCTTCGACGAACTCAAGGTAGGACTGGACTCCAGGACTGGACTCCAGGACTAGACTCCAGGACTGGTCTCCAGGGACTGTGTTCAGACATTCAAATTCACTTCTCAGACGATGACTTGACCTTTCACTCCTTGTCCTGTGATTCACTGTTGTCTCCAACAAACCCTTGAAATGGATTTTTTTTTGGACCAGGTGCAGTTTTAAAGCACCGCCAGCCTGGTCATAATTAGCATTTAATTAGAAACCTGCTATTGGCCTTCTGCTTCTACCACAGCACATCTCAGTGGAATGACTAATAAGGGTTAATGAGTGTAAAAGGGTCTGGGAAGTGTTGTCCTGAGTGCTGCGGTGCATAATGTAACAGGGGTTTTTATTAATGATGGGGGAGAGGGGGGCAACTTTAAAGGATTATAGGCCTGGAATTCAAAAATAAATTTCTGATGTTGGCTGAATACTGCAGAACGATTGCGTGACATCACATGATGATATCACAGCCAGTTGTCCCATAATCCATTTTTTTCTTTTTCTAGATTCAGAATTTTAGGGAAGTACTCTTTAACCCTGAGGGCAGTGGATGGTGCTGTCCTAACTGACCCCTACTGGCCTGTCAGGATAATAATAAAAAACAAAACAAAACACGGACAGTATGACAGGAGGGGCGGGGGCCACTAAGTGTCATCAATTTTTAACAATGGAGCTTCTGACCTAGTTTAGGTATCAGTGTGGTGTGCAGCCCGTCACTCCTGGTGGACACAGTGAATGATACAGTGCAGCCAAGCATTTTTTTTTTCAAATATTTTTTTAGCCATTTTATTTCTTGTTTACGTAAGTTAATCACTAACAGACTTTTCTGACTGATTTATTCAATTTGTCCCACAAATACGAATGGCGATCGAGCTCGTCTGGGTCGATGCCCTGCTGTGGTTTTTGGTTATGTAATGTCCGCCTTGTGGACATTAATGTAACTGCAAAAAAAATTGGTACAAGTTGAAATTGACGTCTTGTTGAAATTTCTTTGATCTTCAGCCTTCAGTCGCAGCTGGCGGCATCTAGCAAGTATGCTAACGTATCTTCAGTATTGCATCTCCAGATTCTTTGTCTTCAACCTTTTTCCTAGGACAGAGATGACATCACTCATGACAGACGTATAAAATTTGACTTTTATTTATTTTCTTTTTGTGTTTCACAGATGACCAATCCTGCCATCCAGAATGACTTCAGTTACTACAGGAGGACGCTGAGCCGCATGAGGATCAACAACGTACCGGTGAGAAACTCCATTTCCAGCAGTTACAATCACTGAGTTTTTACTTTGATTGACTGCGCGCCGCGTCGTCCGTTATCGGTCCAATCCAGCAGCGTCATCGCTCATCTGCTGTCAGACCAGAACGTTTCCAGATTTTTTATTTTTTTTCCTTCCCAAAGCAACTCGCTTTTGGGAAGGATAACACAGAGAAAGAGACAGAGTGGTGAGAGAGAGAACCGGTACCGATGAAGTTCCAGCTCCACTGATGAACGCCGTCTTTGAGCTACAGATTCATTACGACCTCTGGCTCAGAGTCACATCAGTTTAACATTGTCACATGATTCATTGTTCCCATAAAAAACACACAGATACTGTGTGTACTCAACGTGAAGGAACCGAATCAGTCACTGGTACAAACCATGTACCGTTCACTCTGAGTCTGAGTGACGACTGCTGGGAGACATGTTATTATTTCTGTTGGCTCAGTGATGGCTGTTCCTCTGGTAGTTCCACTGGAAAGATCCGGAACTTTTAAGGATGGAGGTGGTCGCGCCTTTACGTTAAGATGGCCTTCAGTCCCTAAAAGACTAGCTTATGGTCAAGGTTAGCTTTGCGTACCAGAACACTGACCTCAGCACTGCCCCCTAGTGACTGTACTTCATAACAACCATGCTATGCAAAAGGTATACATTTCTTCATATCGACTTGTAGAGCGGTATATGTCTCTGGTGTTCAACCCACAACCCTCAGATTGGAGGACAATTGTCCACCTTATATTGCTTCTTTTTTTTTTTAACCAAAAAAAGAAAGTTTTGTTCTGCGACCAACCATGGCTGCTTCAATTTCCTCCACTTTGTCAACAGATGAATCTGAGATGAATAATTTATTTCAGAAGTCCTCAGACAGTCTGAAGTTTTAGATTCCGACTTTGTCTCCCTGCCACTGCTCCTGATCACATTGTTAAAAAAAAGTGCATCACTGTGATGATTCATCGTCGCTCAGCCCCCCCTGCCCTCAGGTCTGACTCTGTTCCCAGCACTTTGGTTCAGACTGAACAAGTAATGAGAAGAGAATGACAATTTTATTTTAGTTTTTAGTTTTTTAAAACATCTAAATACGTCTCAGAGCAACAATTCTTCCTCCTCTTCCTCTGGGGGTTCCAGTCGGTGTGAAACTCTGGGTAAAGGCCAACAGCACGAGACGGAAAAATCTAATCTGTAAAATCAGATGCCTGGCTCAGACCCTCCAGAGATTTAACAGCTTTGACTCCAGGTCGGTGTGAGATCTGTAGCTGACACCGTCCAGGATTAAACCCTGCCCTGAAACACAGCTGGGTTTTGTTCTGGGTCCAGAAAAGTTCTGACGAGGACTTTCAAAGATGAATGTAGATGAAACACAGATGAGGATCATCAGTGTGTGACACAAATGTGTGTAATCCTGGGATTTTTGTGACTGCTTACTGAGTCGACCAGCTGATCTTCCCGGATGCAGAGTCAGGACCTCCCAGTCATTGGACCTGTGTCAGACTGAGACCCTTTTTCCAGAACTAATGACTCAGCAACTTGGTCTGACCAGTGACTCAGACATGACAACATATTATTGTTCCTTTCATGCTCTATTATCACTTGACAGTCAAAGGAGATGACTGTGAACAAAACGTCTGACCGTAGTCATCTTTTGGGTCTCCAGCTCTAAGGACACATCACTTGAAATATTGCCAACTGTCCTTGTTAGAAAAACCCAGTCCAGAAAAAAAAACTGTGATACATGTCTGTTGTTTTGAAAAGGATATGAGAGTGTCAGGAAAAATGTAGCTTATTGAGGTAAAATTAACAGAAAAAAAGATCATCTACTTTAAGGCTACACTATCAACTAAGTGTAAATGTGTCACTGTTAGCACACCAAAACTAGCGCTGGCTGAAACAGTCCTTACGTACACGGGTGCTAATGTTAGCTACAACAGTTGTGATACGGACATAGGTGCTAATGTTAGCTACAACAGTTATGGTATAGACACAGGAGCTAACGTTAGCTACAACAGTCCTATTATGGTCATTGTACCTAATGTTAGCTCTTAGCTCCTGTGTCTATACCAGGACTGTAACGTTAGCCACGAAGGTCCTGGTACAGACAAAGCGTAGCTAGCCCACGTTAGACCAGACGTCAGGGTTTGAAATGTTTTAATCAAAACTATTTGAATTAAAAAAAAACTCCTTGCCAAATATTTCCCTTTTATAAAATAATGTGATTCATTACCATAAATTATTTACAGAGCCACTAATTAGAGTTTTATTTTTAATTGCGTCTGACCTTTTGTTTAACCAGATTCCTGTGGACTGAATGTTTTAATCAGAGGCTTCATCTCTGAGCTGAGATTCACTTTTATGACTGCACAGAATCAAAAGGTGTTTTTTTTTTTCCCCAACATCAGCCGTGAGCCAAACGCACACAGACAGATACTCGTCGTTAGCGTCGGTCACTCTTTAGCTCGGTGTCACGGAGCAGCAAGACTTTCAGTTTCCACCCAGACAGAGGAATCATCAGGAGATGAAACGCGTCTGACCCTGTGGTTAAAAAATAATTTCTTTAAATTTTTTATTCACATCCTGTTCTCTCTGTTATAATATGCAGACACTTCCAGAACAGAGAGTTCACCTTGTTCTCAGACTCTGATGTTTGTCAAACATCACAGTCTTGTCTGTCTGTCTGTCTGTCAGCTGTTTTACTGAACAGGATTTGGTTTCAGTTTTTAGACTTTAATTTCATTAGATATATGTCTGCACAATCAGAATGTAGCTGCTGCTGCTGCTAAATAAAACATACGTTTTCACAATGAAGAGTGACATTTAGCATGTGATGACTAGAAAATACTAAATGTAGAAAAAGAATAGAATTGGATTTACAAAAATAAGAAAACAACTTACTAAATTATGATGAAATGCTGATCTGCTTTCATATTGGGCGGGGGATAAAAAAGCAAAGTCTGAATTTCACTGCTTTCTGGAGGAGCTGAAACTGTGTCACGGCTCAGCCAAAATGTTTGATCTCTGCATGTGGTCTTTGAAACTTTTTTCTTTTTTTTCTTGGTCATTTTTACCAGACGTCAGTCAAGCCGTCTTACCGTGGAGAATGTTTCAAATGTGGCAGCGCCATGGTTACACATTAATATGCCAAGATACCAAAGCAGTGTCTGCACTGACCAAAGTTTCCACAGATGGATTTCAGGATTTAATTCCAGAATAAAAAAAAACTAAAAGCACAAACCAAATTACCAGACTGTAGGGGGAGCAGTAACCTTAGTGAGTTATGATTACATTCATCCAGTAATAATAAATATCAACTATTATTTTTAACTGGTTTTATTGTGAAAGTCCGTTGTTTACCATCTTTAAATACACGTCATTCTGTTAATGAACCAACATCGTAACGTGGGATAAAATGATTCTTTTTAGCTTTGTTTAAAATTCTCACGGTTATTAATTTTCATTTACCGAATTACAGGCAGAGATTGAAAATGAAGTCAACAACGAGCTAGCGAATCGAATATCGCTCTTCTACGCCGACGCCACGCCCATGCTGAAGACGTTAAGTGACGGCACAACAAAGTTTGTATCGGAGGTGAGACTGAACTGGATGGGCGGGGCAGGTGTCACTTTTTCTTTTTTTTTGTTAAGGTGTAGTTTGCTGTTAGCAAGCAAGCTAAAAAAATCATCTGCTACCAAACCTATCGTGATATAATTCAATTTTTTAAAATGCTCAGATCCTTGCTTTTGCCAAAATGTCACTGGGTAAATGCTGACTGTTAATGCCTTTGTGCCTGCGCAGTGGACGCTTCCCTGCTGCTTTGTCACGTGACTCATTCCGATTTGTCTTCTTCCAGAATAAGAACCTGCCCATTGAGAACACGACGGACTGTTTAAGCACAATGGCCACGGTTTGCAAAGTCATGTTGGAAACACCGTAAGAGACGACGACGACGACGGCGGCGGCGGTGGTGGACGACGACGACGACGATGACGACGACGGTGTCGGCAGAAGTTTGACTTTGTTTGACCTCAACATGAATCTGATGTCTTTGTCTCCTGTTCCCTCAGGGAGTACCGCAGCCGCTTCACCAGCGAGGAGACGGTGTCCTTCTGCCTCAGGGTCATGGTGGGGGTCATCATTCTGTACGACTACGTCCATCCTGTAGGAGCTTTCGCCAAGTCGTCCAAAATCGATGTGAGCAAAACTCACGTTTTCTGGTTTATTTTATTTATTCACTTGTCATTTTTTAAAGGGACAGTGCACGCTAATGGACATTTACATGTAAATATGAAAGGTGACTAGGTGTAGCCAGATTAGCCAGAGCTAAATGAGATTAAAGTGCGTTGTGATTTAAAAAAAAAAGAATCAAATAAATGATCAACAGTTGTAGTTTCAGTGCCGACGCTGACGTCTAATTTCTGCTCTACAGATGAAAGGTTGCATCAAAGTTCTCAAAGATCAACCTCCGAACAGCGTGGAAGGTCTTCTCAATGCTCTCAGGTAAGTTCTCCAGCGGCCCGGCGCGTAACGTGCTACGAGCTGCAGAGAAAAACTCTCCTTTTGTTTCATTTTCCCTACTTCCCTGTCTGCTCTCCTTTGCTGGATTTTTTTTTCCTTTTTTTTCTTTAAACCAAAACCTGTGACACCTCACCTCCTCCTTACCCTCCTCACCTCCTGCTACTTTTACCTGCGTTGGCTAACGTTCACAGCTAATGGCGCCGACCTCGCGGTCGGTGTCTCAGTGGCAGCAGCCTACGGCAGCCGTGATGGGTCATTTTCGTGCCAACGCAGGCACATTTCCCTTCACTCCACTGCCTCTCTGCCCTGGCACAGGATGAGAAATAATTTTAGATGCGAGCCCACACACTGGTGCAACACCGTGGAGTACTTTTCAAGTACAATTCCGACAGGTTGTGCAGCTTTGTACCAGAAACTTCACACCATCACTGTACTTCAGTACACGCTACGCATGTACTTTTACTTCTGAACGCCACGAAAAAAGTAAAAAAATAATGACAGTGGCAGCTGGTACGTAATTTAGTCGGGCACATGTGCGGGCAGCCCACTGATGTGGGAGAAACCAGTGTAGATCAGTGGTAGGTTTAAACATTTTTGCCATGAATAAATATGTTGCCATTAAATATATCAGTATATATTGGATATATTTTAACTTTAAAATGAGAACGTTATGATTTTTTATTAAGTTTTGATTTTTTATTCAAGTATTTTGTTAAAGGTAAGAAATATTTTTGCATCATTTTTAATATATATTTATTATGTACTGTAGAAATTTACTGCACGTGTTAGAGTTTGAATTTTATTGGCTGAAATATCAAAACAAATATATGTCACATATATGCTAAAAAAAACCAAACAAACAAATATTTGCTTCTTATATCGTGGTTCTGTTGATGAGATTCTAAAAGTTCTACTCGTGGTGTGTGCTGTGAGCTTTTAAGGTGACATGATGTAAAATAGGGGGCGCTAAAGTCATGCCCAGTGAAGTCCATACATTTTCCCTCCCCCTGCAGGTACACGACCAAGCATCTGAACGATGAATCGACCAACAAAACTATCAAGAGCATGCTGCAGTAGGACTGAGCTGCTCCACCCGCTCGCCTCACCCCCTGCTGGGGGGGCAGGGGAGGGCGGGGCACCACTCTCCCGACTGATGCTGGTGCACAGAATGTGTTTTTGTTTTTTTTTGTTTTTTTGGCTGTTTTTTTTTTTTTTTTATGTTAAAATGAGCTCAAGCTCCGCCCTCTTTTTTTATTGCAAAATGCTACTGCCATTCTCAACGTCTTTTTCTGTGCCAAAAAGATGTCGACGCTGTGATGTTTTCACTCAAAGGCCATTTCACACAATGGCAGCTCATGGAAACATTTCAGATCCTCTGGTGTTTTTAAATACTTGTCTTGTGTGTGTTTTTTTTTTCTTCCCTGAATAAGGGATGGGAGTGCTTTGACTTGAAAAAATTTCAGAGAGATATATAGAGAAGTATATATTATTTTTGTTTGATTCATTATTTAATATTCCAGCTGCATGATAAACATGTCGTCGTATTTAAGCGAAATAAGAAACTAATGGTTCAGTTGAATTCGTCTGCTCTATTGTGCGTTTATGAAATGTTTCGTTATTGAAATGGTACCTGTCAAAAATGAGATTCGAGAGTACTGTTTTTATATTTTTTATAGGTTTTAATTTGTGCGTATGGCTCATTTTTTGATTTTTTTTTTTCATAGTTGTTTTTTTTTTTTTTCAGTTGAGAACTTGGAACTGTGATGTGTGAAAAGTGGTATTAAAACTGGGAGTCTGTACTGTAAATGGACAGTATGTTGTGGCCGCAGACATTAAAAAGAGAACTCTTGTTTTCTACAAACTCCTTGTCCGAGGTCGTTTCTGTGCGACCGCCGTCAGTCGATGGAAATGATTTATGGCGTGACGACGTGGAACGTTTAAAGAACGTTTTAGTTCCTCACGGGGGAAGCATCAAAATGTGGATTAGTAAAACTCTGCCGCACTTCTTAAACCAGTCACTGTCTGCACCAAGGTCCATTGAGGAACTGGGTGATTTTAGATCACAGCTCAGGGGAGACGTTGAGCCGCTGCTTCCATTACTGAGGTGGAATGTGTGACTTTTATCACAGCGCTGTTTGAAATCCTTCTTCTTGAAATTACCTGAGTGACACAACGTTAGCGAACAAGGCGGCAGTGGAGCAGCTGCTCCTCTGTTCCTGCGGGCTTAAAAACGTGGATTTTCTCAATGGACTCTGGTCTGGTCTGCGTTGACAAACTTCATTTCTTATTCAAAAAATGCTTGATAGTGAGAACGAGTGTCAGATGTTTTATTGTTGTAGAGCGGAGGTGACTTTTTTGATTTATTAGATGACATTATCTGTCATGATGTCATTGGAGTTCTAACTCTTAACATACATTCTTTTTTTTTTTGTTTGTTTTTAAGCCAATATTTTCATCAACCTGCGTTCATTTCCTTCTCGTCCAAACCTGCATGTAATTACAGCTGAAGAGAAATTTCAGAAGAAAAAAAAAATCTATTGAACACTAATGGCTCGTCATCATTAATTAATGGGCAGATTAATTGAAGCAGAGGAAAAGAAGTAATGGATGAAACGGGCCATGTCGTGTCTGCAGTAATTAAAAACATCTATTTGTGTCTTTTTCGCTGCTGCTGCCGCTGCTCTTAATGATTCATTAAAGTCATAATTACACCTCTTCACTGACAGGTGGTCGTTTCATCAAAGCCTTTTCTCATGTTTGTTCTTTTTAAAGCAGAGAAAAAAACCCCAACATCCGCACAGCAAATCCTGTTTTTTTCCAATCACTTTTCTGACCTTTGTGTTTCTTTTCTTTCAGCCGTGTTTCCTCCTCAGTGAGGGAGGACGTGTGCTCAGGGAGGGTACTGCAGCAGTGTTGGAGAAGTTCTCAGGGTCAGAGAGTGAAGCAGAGGGAAGATGGGTGTGTCTGCTGCAGCATCACTGCACTGACACACATGAGCAAGGAAGGAAGGTAGGAAGGAAGGAAGGAAGGAAGGTAGGAAGGAAAGGAGGAAACAAAGTGTTCTAACACAGACAGAGAGAACGTCCAGTCTGTGTTAAAGGATCAGGTGTAGTTTCAGGGCAGTTCATCACCGTGGCATGTCAGTGGGGCAGCGGTGCATTTGTTCTGCACCCGCTGATCTCCCACTGTGACCTGCTTAGGAAGCATCAGCCGCTCCTCCTGCTCCTGCTGCTGCTGCTGCTGCTGCTGCAGAGAAATCCTGTTAGATCTGATACAGCCCCGGTCACCTCGTCCTCCAGGGAAGTTTTTTTTTTTTTTTTTGTTAAGGTGTGGTTTTATAAAAGGAAAGTGTCAAAATGTACGATAGAAGCCTCTGTATGTGGTGCATCGACACCACAGCTCACATCAGCAGTGGGCTGCATCAGTGGGCTGCACCAGTGGGCTGCACTCCACTGCTGATGTGTCCAGTGTTTGGTTAACACCCTGCAGGTCGGGGGACTCAGTCAGTCCTCCCATCACCAGCTCCATGTTCTCACTGCAGGCGTCCTGCACGCTTCATGTCAGTGGAAAAAATAACAAGACATTTAAAAAAAAAAAAAAAAAGAATGTTATATTTTTCCACATTTTCTACATTTTTTTCCCACATGTATAATTTCTGCCAATTTTTCCAAAATTCCTCACCTGAAAAAAAAAAAAAAAAAAGTTATATTTTCCCACATGTATAATTTCTGCAAATTTTTTTTTTAATGTCAGAACATTTGTCTAAATAACAAATCTCTGTCTCTCCTCCGTCTTCATGTCTCAGTCCACTCTCTTCTTCTTCTGCAGAATGACCTTTGACACCCAGTCACGACCTGCCTCCTGTAAATGTAAGAAAAATCCAGACCAGTCTGAACCGGTTTTACTGATCACCATGTTCACATTTCAGAAACAGTGTCTTAGAACTTTTTGTCTCCACCGCGGTAAAGGACATCCAGCATCAGCAGAAGGACAGGAGAGCGGCGTCTTTGAATAATTCCTGCCTGCAGCAGTTTTTATTCCTCAAGGTCAACGGTTTATGTTAATGAGGCGACCCTTTGACCTCCACGGGTTTCATCAGGCCAATATTCCATCAGGTATTTTTGTTTATCTCTTCATATCCCTAACAGGGAAACTTGACCTTCAGTCTATCGACTGCATGTCGTTCGCACTTGACCCTGAACAGTGAGGTCACATGACCCTGTACACGCTACGTTCAAACGCTTATAAACAAAACCAACAGATTGAAATACGACATTTTATATTAGCGTAGACTTTGAGAATTGTCTGAGGAGTTCTGATATTAATCAACAGATCATGACAACCGTTTAACCAAGATCGTCAAGCCTGTCTTTCTTCAATTCCTGCGAAAGTATATCAGTTGTTGTGTTCAACTAAACTGGCCCAAGTTTCATACGAAGTAAGAAAATTCAATAATTTCAAAACATTGACTTTTCGTACAGTAACTCCTGTCAACCCACCACCCCTGAGCACAGTCCATTTCTGTCGTCCATCTTTTTTTTTTTTTCAGACAAATCTTCCTCTGTGTCCTGTCCATGGCCGAGCTTCATGTTCTCGTCACGTTTTTCTTGACAGTTGAAGATTTAGACGACAACGTGTGACAGTGAACCGTCAGTTATTTCTCAGTAAAGAGTTTCTCCTTTCATTCTGGTGAAGCCCCCCCCGCCCCCCCCCCCCCACAGCAGCCCCTGAGAACCCCGTTCTGTCCATAAACCACAAGGCCCTAACACATTGCTCATCTGTCTCTCCAGGGTGAGACAAGTTCACTTTTCTGAGAAAAGACAACGGCTATTCCACGGAGACCACCCCTGCCAGCCAATCCATTCACACACAGACACACTGCCACAGATGCAGACCCCCCCCCCACACACACACACACACATCCCCCCGAACCCTCATTTCCACACACACACACACACACAGAGCAAGAAAAATCCCCACTTCCTTCTCTGCGTTGCTATAATCGGAGGAGTCTTAGTTAATCAGTCGTGTCAAAACATTAACGGCTGAAGGTCACGTTTCAGGGGCAGAAAAAAGAAAAACAGAAAAGGAAAAAAAACCCAAAGTCGACTGCAGTAATCTGGTCCGTTGGGCAGATAGTGGCCCGTCAGTCAGACTGTGGCCACACATCAGCGAGCGCCACCGCCTTCTGTTTGAACTCTGTCAATAACGGTCTTTACCGAGAAATGTTTGTCCCCAGTGTTGAAAACAAACTCATCTCTAGGGTGCGCTCACGGTTTCACATCCCTCGTCTTAAAATCAATCAGAAATTTTTGGTTTGATACAGTAACAATAATAATAATAAAAAGTCAAGTCTCGGTCAACTCGGCACGTCACATGGGCACCGACCTGTCACCTGATTGGACAGTTTTTTGACGAGGTTAATGACGGCTCCTTAGCTCGTTTTCTGTTCTGTTATCGTTGACTTGCTAACTAACCTTCTGCTCTTGCTAATGTTGTGGCTCAGAGAACTTCTAACCTTCTGCTCTTGCTAATGTTGTGTCTCAGAGAACTTAGATTCTGGTGGAGTTCTTGATAAATTTAAAGTCACTGATGTTAACGGAGGAAACGCTCAAGGTTTTTTTTTTTTTTTTTCCAAAGTTTTGTTTTGTTGTTGCTCTTCTCTGGCTTAAGTTTAGCTCGCTAATCGAGAACTTTGATCATGTCTTTGCGTTAACTTCAGGCACTGTCAGCTGCTATTGTTGCAATCATTTGACTTGCCTATTTAGCAGTTAGCATTAGCTATATGTTATGTTTACAATTTACTATTCTTGTTTACATTTTTTTACAATATTCTTTCTTAACTTCAGCTTATTTCGTGCAAGTTTTGCTGATAATTTTTTGCATATATCAGGAAATGTATTTTGGTATATTCCGGTATTAAAGTTCCTCATATTAAGAAGTTTAATGGGCAAAAAAGTACATTTTGTCCATAAAACACATGAAAACTTTTTTTATGACACAGTTCGAAGCATTTTATTGACGTCCTGTTAGCCTTGGCTGCAGCGTGGCTCTGGTTTATTAAAGAAAACTGAAGTGAAATGTCATCAAGTTCATTCATAAAATTCTCACATATCACTTTCACTCACACCCACACATTCGGATAAACACGTGCGGACGTCCAGCTATTTTTGTGCACATCCACACAACGGCCGCGCTCTCGCTGACAGTCACTTCCACTTCCACACTTTTGCTACACGCTCTATTGCAATTTCCTTTCGACATGGGGTCCTGGTGCAGGGAATCGACCGTTTTCTGTCGTTGTCTCTGCAGGACCGTAAATCATGGCTCCGAGACCTGATGACTGTGCAACTGTTTCTCCACAGTCGAGGTCTGTCTCCTCCGGCCTTCCTGTCGTTGAGTAACATCCACACTCAGACCAGAGGATGCTGTGGTTTTGACCAGATTCTTATGCTAAGTGATGTTCTTTCAGAGGCACAACGAGGGGGCAAATTACGGCCAGTTAGCTTAGCTAAGCCTCGCTTAGCCTAGCATTGAGATGAGGTAGATGAAGATGGGAAGTGAAAGTTTTATTGATATGTCGTGAACAGCCAGAGGTGCTGTGTGTTAAACATGCACAACATGGCCGCCGGTTATTGAGCAGCTGTATATATTTAAGGTAACAATCACTTTAGCTGTGATAAATTGGGTGTCTTTGCTAGCATGCTAAAAGACCGGACTCTGGAGCATTGGGAAAAGTCTGGAAACACGGCTTTTTTCCCTGTTGTATTGTGATAGATGAACGAGTGTCAGAAGAGACATGGATGAATTGATTACCCATGATGCCTTGTGTCTAGTGAATAAGCTTCTATGGACTCTCCATGAGCATGTGTTGCTGAGTTAGCTTCACACCGAATTAAGAAGTTAGCTCATTGTCTTAGTAAAAGTAGCTGCCCAGGTTGTTTTTTTTCATTAATGTTCTTTTCTTTGCTGACGACTTAAGTAAGAATACCCGAGATTATTTTGTTTACGCAGTAAAAGTGTGGCTAAGGAGTACGTCTCAGTATTTTTTTCTTTCTATTCTGGTCGATTGAGATTCCACCCATCAAGCGTTTTGTGAGTTGTTGTCGTATGAAAGCTACATCCGTAGTCGAAGCTAAAGATGGTCCGACAACATCTTAGAGTGCATGACCCGGTGTACTGTACATAAATCTAACGTAGTTGGATCGGCGAGTTCTCCAGATCAGTTACGTTGATATTTACCTCATCGAGACATCGGCATCTCTTCAGCTATCGCTTACGTTCACTATGTCGCAGGAGTTCCTGACTCTGTTTATTAACGTCACGCTTGCCGTGGTATTTTAATGCCCAGCGTTAAATCTGTTCAGGATGGGAACATTACAGCACGTGGCTTAAATTCCACCATTTTTTAAACAAATTTAATCTCTGTAGAATAATCCTGGAGCGGCTCTACTTTTGGGAATTTTGTTTTTTTCCAAAATACCTTCGGGGGAACACCCTGCCCTCGTGGAGAATATTTTGGTTCATGATTAAGTATTAAGTTGGGATGAGAACGAGGGTCAGATTAGAGTCAGATTAGAGGATTAGGATTAGTTAAGGTGTGATAGTTAAGGTTAGGGTTCGCAGCTAGAAAATACATGAAGTCAAAGTGAAATGTACTGTACCCAGAAACCTGCGTGTGTGTGTGTGATGTGTGTGTGCTAAATTAAGGCAGGTGCATGTGAGCCGATTGTAGCACGTTGC